TGAATGGTCCTTATCTTGTAGGATCATATATGGAACAGAGTTTTGACATTTGCATCCACATTCAAGCTGCTGATAATCACCATTTAGTTATGCGATATAATGGATTTAAACTTGCTTGTTAGAAAAGTTGATATCAAATGTACATTATGGTTTTCGAGAATATTTTTAATTGAAAGAACCATCTTAATATGATCAAAGCATTAAACATTTAAACACCCTTTGTTTTAAAGGACCATATTCTCAGAAATTTCATACCACCTAATGGTTAATACTAAACTCAATCAACATTTTTTTAAGATTAGCCAATAAAAAGTATCTGTCAATACAATTATGTAGGCAAATGATGTAGTTGGATGTTGTTCAGCATTAGACTTCGTATTTTGACAGCATTTCAAAATGACTCTTCAGTGGTGTGCCTGTCCTCCTTGAAAGGCTTGGCTGATTAATTGTCACACAAGGAAGTTAGTGATGCACAACACTCTCATCTGCATGAGCTTAATTTGAGCAGTAACTCAGTCCCTGAAACTTTTAAACACCGGGGCTCAACTCTGGAAAATATGAAAGTATAAAACTCATCAAAGTATTGCTCAGCACATGCTGAAAGCTTTCCTCTTGAGACAATGAAGCATTCCATTCATTTCTACTAAAGATGGCTCAAAGTTAGAGACATTAAGATAAGTGATCAATTAAAAAAAAACCCACATTAGAGGAACAATTCTTATTTGGTTCAAGAGAGAGCTATATATATCACCAGACAGCCATGCTTCAGTGGTAGAATACATGCTTATATAAAGTTCATTCTTTAGCAGTGAAATCAAAAGCTTAGGTAACAGATGATGAGAAATACCTTATCCAGGCAAATTTGCCTGGATGTGATGTCAGCCAGGAAATTGGAAGAAACCAGACTGATTCACTATAAAACAGACGCAAGTGATATTTAAGTTCAAGAACTGTTCTTGTTTTCCTAAAAATAAGTTTGGGGAAAAAAAATAAAGTTAACTGATGAAAGGCAAACTGAGGTCCAGACGATGTTGCCAAAGTTGACAAACATTGCTATAAGGAGATCCTTTTGAAAATACTGCTTTAGATATAGATGACCAGATAGGTATAAGGAGCAATATAAATCCACACATGGAACTTAATGCAGAACTTAAATCAAAATAGAGGCCCTTAGGAAACAATGGGAATGAGTGGACATGGCAGGCAAAAATGTTGACTGAAGAATCTTATTAACATAATGATATTAAAAAAATGTAAAACAAGATGTCATTAACCAGATTTTTTTAGCTTAGAGTGTTGTGCTGACCCATCTGTTATATCATTCATAGTGCAGTTTTGTAAGAAGAGTTTTATGAAAGGGTTTTATAATATTTTATGAATATTTGTTATGTAGTTGCTTTTGATTTTACTTTGAATGGACAGACACAAGAGTTAAAGAGGGGGGGCGGATTCTTGCTGATTTCCCAGGACCTACCTTTGTGCTTCAGGTGAATTCTTGGCTGTTATTGGTATATTGTGCAATGGAATTTAAAGAACGAAATCAGACAAGGTTTCATATCAGCTATTTTACTGTCTGTTCCAACTAGCAGAAACATACCCAGGGCAAATGAAGGATAAATATTACATTTTGGATATCTCCCCAGCTTCCCATTCTAATAATGCATAAAATATAGACCTCCTGACAATTAAGTTGTTGTAAAGGCTCCAGTGTTAAGTCAAATATTTGATTTTTGTGTCCACATTCAAAATAGATTACTATTGAGCTCCAGATACATGAGCTACATATTAAATAGCTGCAGTCCTCTTAATGAACAGTAAATAAAATTCTTTTAAAAAGCTAATAATGTCCAGGAACTAAGGAAAAAAAGGCAGGCAATGTTTTGTGACTGCAATTTGCATTATTTTTTTTAAACTGTTGGCCAGCAGAGGGCACAAGACAGGATAGAGAAACAATGACACTATCAGATGATTGAACTAAAAGTATCAGTGCTTTCTGTATTTCCAATGTGGGTGAGCAACACTTCTTTTTCTGTTCAAAAAACATAATATTTAAATATTTATTTAAAATATTTTAAAATTCTGCTATACTAATTTTAAAAACACCCCCTCATAGAGGCTTAAATGACAATTGCAGAACTTAATCCCTTTTCAGTTTGAAAAAAATGCTTTTTTTCTGCTGAAGTTTGCCATGGCAGTTTACAGATTTACAGAGTTGTAAGGGACCTTTTAGGTCACCTAGTCCAACCCCGTCCCCCCCTGCCCAAGCAGGAGACCCTACACCATTTCTGAGAAATGATAGTCCAATCCCTTTTTGAAAGTTTCGAGTGATGAAGGTCCCACAACTTCTGAAGGCAAACTTTTCCACTTGATTGTTCTCACTTTGAGCCCAGTCTTTGAGTGAATGATAGAAATGTAGTTGAAGGCAGTAAAAAGAGTTTAGAATGCCCCACATGTAGCTTATGGGGCTGTCAGATTGTTTTTGCTTGGTGTACCTGCATGTAGGATAGAGAAGTGCTGTTTTCCAGATCTTATCCACAAACTGGCAGATAGTACTAACTTCAAAACTTTCTAGTTACACATACATAAATACATACAGAAAAAAGCTCAAAGCAGCTAACATTACATTAAAATTAAACATCAAAATAGCTCACAATATTTAAAATTTAAAAATAAAATTGGCTCACAGATTGCAGATGATCCAGGACAGGTAAAGTTGAGGTGCTCAGTTTTCCAAACTTGGCCTCTTTTGCTATGGTCTCAGCTTAGTTTCTTTCTTCCTTCTCTTTTCTTGCAGCAATATTCTCCCAATGGAGAGCAGCTTATCCATCAACTAGCCACGATCTGTATAGAGGAGGGTCAAAATCCCCTCTGTCAATCTTTGGGGGACTATTAAGTGGGCAGTCATCATTCCAGATCTTAGGCAGTTAGTAGTTTCAGAGGTCCCATGCCTGGCGAGCATCTGTTTATCTTCTGGTCATAACTTCTGGCTTTCTTTCAGTTATGAGATGAGTCTATATAGATTTGTGTGCCACTTTCCAAGAAGATGCAGGAATTTATGTTTCTTAAGGTAGATCAAGGTGAGACAAGGAGATAAAAAGTGAAGTATTAAAATACAATCTTAAATAATTCAGACTCAGGTGATCTAAACAATTGTCTTTGGGTATCTATGATGAAAGGTCCTATATGCTATGTCATGGTTTGCAGGATGCCAGGAAGCGCCTAGAGATGTTTTATCTATTTTTTAAAAAAAATATCTCTACATGGAGTTTTTTTTTCTGAAATGGTCCTTTCTGTGTGATATGTCAGGTCCCCAACCCTGATACCATTTAACTTCATAACTTCTACCACCCATTTACATGTAACATGTTTTTTTTTTAAGAGGGAGTTGTTCTGGTTTACCTTAAATTCCATTTTATTTTAAGTTTCTTTAATGATAATATATCATTTTGGGATTTTTCTTAAATAAGCAGCAATATATTAAGTCAATAATAAAGGCAAAGTGTTCTATTCTGCTCTAGTGTGCCCGGTGCCCAGAAGGGACTATACATGCTTTTGCACTCTAGCCTCTTGAATGGTGAAGTGCAGTTCTTGGAATATTATTCTCTTTTCTGTTCTGCCCATTAGCACGATTTGTAAAGGGAATCATACACTTCACATCTGATGGAAGAAATATGTAAAGACTACTTTTCCTTAATTACCAGTTCCCATTTCTTCTTGTAAATCATTAGTCTTTTCTCTTTTAACCTTTTAAGTATGCCCTGTTAATATTTTGTAAGAGTACTTAGGACATCCAAGGAGTAGATGCTGGCTTAGTTTAGCGATTTTTAAACAAATGATCATGTACATTTTCACTGTAATTAACTTGGTTATCCCCAAGGTGCTTCAGGTCTGTTTTCTTCCTCTCCCTCACCTAACTTCATCATTTTTTAGAGTAAAGAATCAAATTATTTGTGTTCTGTTTTTCTGTTAACAAATAGCCTTATGGACATCTATATGCACTCTTTCTGGTGATAACTTTTTGGTGTTCATCTAACTTGAGGAAGGAGGAATTGGGAGATGGCAAGGATTGAGCAAGAAGGAAAGAATAACATATCCATTTTTAAAAAGGGAATCTAAAATAATTTCTAATACCCAAAACTCTCATGCCAGGGGTGCCTTTGGTAACTTTAAGACATGTGATGTTCAACTCCCAGAATTCCCCAGCTAAAATTGTTCACAGATCTTAAAATCACCTAGGTTGGATTACAGCAGGGTTGCTGTATATTTTAACTGACTTAGAAAATATGCTTGTTATAAAAATAAAATCAGTGTTTTTTTCCAGTGATATGTTGGAAGACAAAATATTGAAAGAGAGCTCCCTTAATCCTACATTTCAACAATCTTATAAGACTGGGCCTGGATTCATTATCTTTACCAAGATATAAAAAGGACTGCCTGAGATTCCACAATGTTCATAAGTGTCTTTTCCTATGATGGGAGTGGGGAAAAAGAATTTTGCTTTTTCATAGAATATTGACATCTAGTTTTCAACTCAAGAATAGAGCCAAAAGATTTGAAAGTAAACCAGTGAAACTTAATGGTACAGATATTAGATCACTCTGTTCTAAAGGCAAAGGGATCTGGGTTTTCAGGCAAAACATGAATGGAAAAGTTACAGATTACCAATTATAGTTGGATTCTAACTCATAGATTTCATTAGCTATGCTCACAAATATTCACAAGAGTCCAACAAACAGCACCACATCCTAGACCTCCTTAGGACTTCCAAGGAGTAGATGCTGGCTTAGTTTAGCGATTTTTAAACAAATGATCATGTACATTTTCACTGTAATTAACTTAGTTATCCCCAAGGTGCTTCAGGCAATCAACTTAATTTAAAAGTCCAAAATAGTAAATATGGACAACTCATCTATCTGAGATCTACCTGAGGACAACTATACTAGTACTTAGATTGGCTAATAAACAATAAAAAACACAGGTTCTTCCAAAAATGTTTTTAAAGCTGTATTTATTAATAACAGATAACAAAATATGAATGATACATGGTGTAATAAAATGTAGCCAACTGTGGGAATTAGTTATTTTTTAAAAGAAGCATTTTGCATATGTATTTAGAATAGATTAAGTTGTTTTTGGTGAATAAAATGTCTGTAAAACTTAAGCAATAGGTGGTTAATAATTCTAACAATGGATTAACTATCTTAGACAATTTTCACTTTTCTGGTTCCTATGGATATAGAGGTATTTATTTCTTTTCCTTTATAAAACAAGAGTTTCCTATGATAAAAACATAAAAATTTAGGCACATGCAAAAGACAGAATGTAAGAAGGAAGGCATATGCTGATACTTTATTTATTCTTAGCTGCTAGAGGTTTACGGCTGATCTTTTTGGACTTGTCGTTGTTCTTTTTTGGAGGTTCAGGGTTTGCCTGCATGTGTCTTCCATAAAGGCTGAAAAGAGATTACATAAAAAACACTGTTAGCCCTATCGCTAACTCAGGCCTTTCAGCACAGCATGGAAAACATTTTGTCTAATAATGTCATTTTATGAAAAACAGATCGCTCAGTTTTGAAATTTCCTATAACATACAAATCTTGATTTTTTATTTATTTTTTGCATCATAGCTGGGAGGGAAAAGGAGACAAAAAACAACAACAGGGAAGACAAAATAAGAAAAACTTCTTAAATTCCTAAAGGTCTGGAGACACTGACAAAAATTGGATTAAACTAATAAGACAGAATGGTGATATCAAAGAAAGTGAGCTTACAGTCTAACTGGAATACTCAAGGGCTTGATAAAGTGACACCAAGCAATAGTGCCAGCTTCTCGCACATGATGGATTGCTGGAAAAGAGCTACCAACACATCAATGCCACATTAATACAGACCCCCTGATTAAATGTTGACAAAGTATCCTGCAATTAAGATTGCTGGCACTCACAAGAAAGCTAAATAGACTCTAAGGCTGAAAGGATTTACACTGAACACCAGAGAGCAATTAATGGATAATTTATGAGTAATTCCTACTTAAACTAAAATTAAAAGCCTTCAAAACAAACAGGATGCAAATGTAAGACTTGCTCTGTTGACAAAGTGTCTTTTAGAGGTTGTTTGAGGTGTCAAGAGAGAAAGGGTTCTCTAAACTTTTTTACTTGGAAAACAGCCATACTAATAATAAAATATGGTAACAAAAGCAAGCAAAACCTGGTATCTGTTATATATCATGCATATGCCACGAAGCGCAGCACATTCAACCTTCAAAACAAATGTTTCTATTGAAACTGTTATCACCAATCAAGAAAGGACAATACCTGGAAACCTTAATAAGGTAGATTCATACATACCATATGTGTGTTTCATCCAATTAGTTTAGTAGATTTTGATTAAAATTGCTTAAGGAAACAGGAAGGGCCTATTCTGATAATTCCTTCCCTAAAGGTTAATCTCTACCTTGTTGAACACCACTCTCATACACACACCACTTAGGAAAAAATTAAAAGAAATTGCTCATTATGTAAGTTAGAAAAATGGAGTGAAGCATGGGTTCTTGGGATCTAAGGTTTAAAAAATGTACTGAACTTGCTAAATCAGGAAGGTGCAAAAGGGGGATATCCCAATGTCTTTTCCAATTTGTCATTCTCTGATTACGTTGTGGCTCCTAGAATTCTGAAAGGCCATATCCCAACCATTTGCAAGGGGTGTATTGGGGAAGCCAATGTCACCAAACCTGTTACCGTATATGTTAAGGAGATACAGATATATAACAATAGCACTTAGATTTGTATACCACTCTATAGTGCTTTAAAGCACTCTTTGATTGGTTTACAAAATCACCATATTACCCCCAAAATATTGTTTTATATTTTACCAAACTTGTGAGGATGCAAGGCTAGTCAACCTTGAGTCCCACTAGGATCAAAATTCAGGTTGTGGGCAGAGTTTGCCTTCAGTACTGCATTCTAACCACTGCATCACTAAATGTGTATTTGTGTGTATATATCTATATCTATCTATATCATCTACCTACCTACCTACCCGTCCACCCACCCACCCACCCATCCATCCATCCATCCATCCATCCAGGTAGACCTCAACTTAAGGTGACTCAATTTTTCATTGGCAGTTCTTAAATGAGTTGCCCCAGATTTTATAACATTTTCTATGATTGTTAAGAGAATCATTTCAGTTATTAAGAGCCAATGTAACTTTAAACAGTTGCTAAATGAATGGTTGTTAAATTGAGGACTACCTATATATGATCCTTGGTGGTTTTAAAGCACAATTCATGATTTCTGACTGAGATATAGATCTATTTTTGGATTCTAAATCAAAACTAATCGAAGTATGGAAGTTCAGTTCTCACCATGCTATAGTTTCTGTCCCAAGCTTCTCTTCTATGACTATGTATGTCACAAAATTGAAAAAGGATGTGTTAATAATTTAATAAAGGACTCCATAGACCAGGTTTATCTGCAAATTTCAGAATATAAAATATAGCTTCCTTTCAGTGATTTTATCGGAAAAAGATTTTTGAATGATGACAATGATAACATGGCTGCAATAATAAAAGCGTCCTTTGCAATGACATGACAGAATAATATCAAAAATAATTGTTTATAGTGCATGGGTACATTAACTACATTGCACTAATAATGTAATAGCTTTTTACACTATCAAAGCGCAGAATTAGAAGAATCAGTTTTTCCTGAACACAGGTAGGAATGGGAGCCTACAATCGATGTTGGCAACTGAATTTATGCTGATAAGAAGTTTCTGATAACCAGAATCTGCTTTCCTGTAACTTTTTTGTTCATATTACACGTGGCAATTTTTTTTATGTGATATCTCTTCAGGTCCTTGAACAAGGTTAGCATATCTCTGCTTTATTCTTTCTTGTGAAAGCTACAAAACAGACAGGTCCCTCAGCATTTCTTTATAAGACTTTATAAGAATCTGTTCATCTAGATTCATTCTTTATGGATTCATTCCTCAGAGGGCAAGACCGAAAGTTCAAGATTAAAATTAGAAGGAAACTGGTTCAGAAAGACACCTAAGCTATCAGACCACAGAATGAGGTTGATAAATGAAGTCACAAGCTCCATATGGCCATCTTTTAGGGTGATCTAGTGAATCATGCATTGAGCAGGGGGGTTGAATGAGATTATCTCTAATGCCTTTTGAACTTTGTAAATCTAATATCTGTGACTCTTCTCTAAATCTGTTTTTTTTAACCTTATAGTCTGGTGCCCAGAACTGTACATAGTAATGTCTAGTAAAACTGTATGCAAAATATAGTGGAACTTTTACTCCTAATGAACCAGAAATTATTAGAGTTGTTCAAATCCTTCAAAATAGGTACTTTGGAATGATCAATGAATACAAAGCACCTCTTTTTGAATTATTAAAGCACTGTTACTTTATAGACTCAAGTGGAAACTATTCCTGGCTGATTGCACAGGTCTGTCTCCCCTTGGGAAGTGGCTGTGCATACACATGCATACAGAGAAACTGCTACCAGTAGTTTATGTATGCACAAGGAAAGTGGCATGCATGGAAACTGCTATGAAATCTTTGAAGCATTTTTTTTGTGGAATATGTGCACAGCTTTAAAGATCATACATCTATTGATGAAGCCTGAAACTGCAATGTGCCTTTTCAGCAGTCTTATCATAGTGCTGACTCATATTCAGCTTGTGATCCAACACAAATTCAAAATGCTTTTCAAATGTGCCATTTTAAAATCTTTTGAAGCAGGAATTCTCTGTGGAGTTAGGATCCATCTCTAAGTTTCTCAGATAAGAAACTAAAAGATATTGACTCTATAATTGCAACTGAAAATTGGCAGAATCTTTCTAAAACACTAGATAGTGATATGCAGGTTTCTTGTTACGGAAATGGGTACATTTTTCCAGATTTTAATATTAATCTGAAGATTTTAAAAGGAACCTGAAGATATATTTTTTACAAATGAACTTCTTGGTAAGTAAGATTTTTCAAGCTTTTTTCTTCATTATAGAAATGGTTATAAATGCATACATGCTGAGAAGTCTGCAACCAGATGAAATATGCAAATCTTTATTTTTTATTTTTTTTAAAAAAAGGTACCCAATTCGCTAAAGAAGCTTGTTGTATCCTCTATCCTGCCCCACTGAGAGTAACAAATGAGAGTACTCTGGCTGCAACAGCAAAACTAACAATAAGGGAGAAAGATGCTCATTAAACTTCATCATTCTGTCCACTTTAATGATGCCTTTACTTAATAAAAATTCCCTGAACAGTTGCAGGGGTATTAGGCAAGGCCTTTGGTTATGTATCAGAGGTCTGAGCTGTCAGTGGCAAAGATGCAGTTCAAGAGCTGCATTCCCAAGAGAACAGGGCAAATACAACCTGCTTGTAATAAATGCAGAGAGAATCAATAACTGCAGCTTGGAACATTACTTAAGCATTTAAGGAAATAGGTGATCTGTCTAAATTAAAGTATGAAGTGCTAAATGTAACAATTTAAAACATAAATCACCATACTTGAAACTCTTACACGTTTTAGCTATAAATCTTGTTATTGCGGCTTTTAACTTTAATGTAGTATAAAAGGACTGGGAAATATGGAAAATATCTTGAATGAATTTTCCCTTCCTCTCCACTTAAATATTTGCTAAACACAGCAACAGCCACCAGCTATATTCTCTAACATAATAGAGTAAAGAGAAACCCACTCCAACATCTGTACAAATGCATTTGACATGCAAGAGACAATGTGTGATTTGTGCCTGGATTTGTTTAATCTAGGCGTGTGTGAATCTGTGCTCAGGTGTGTTATTAACTAGTTGATAACACATTTATTAGGTTATATAGATCCAGCAGTCCATTAGAAACCTTAAATTCTGAAAATTAATTTCTCAAGAATGTTTTAATGAATGTTTAGAATAAAGCTCCTGGGATTATGCAACTAGGTGGTACAAAAATATTTGTAATAAATAATAATCAAACCCATGCATTTCTGCAGGAACTCATGATTCTCCTGACCATTTTATAACCCCAACAATTCTGCTAGCTAGATTAGGTTGAGAGAAATGGAAAGGCTGTAATAATATTAAAACAAGAGGACCTTGAAATCCTGCAGCAGGATTAAAGAGTTGGGTCCCAGCAAAAGAAATTCTTCCCAAATTCACTAATTATGTACAAAATATAGACTACAGGAAAATATGATAATCTATATCAGGATATATGCAGTTATTTTTTATTAACTTGAATGCTCACCTATTACATTCAAGAGATGAAATATCAGTTTCCCCCCCAATTCTCTATATAGCTTTTTATAAGTAGACCTCAGCATATGACCAGCAATCATTCAAAAGTTATGATGGACCTCCCTGGAATACTTACAATTCTATTCCGAAGTTGTGACCTATCCCTGCAGCCATATGGCAGCATTTCAGGTGTTCAGCAACTG